CTGGAAATGTTTTAGAATGACAAGAGAGGTAATGGGTGCACATACAACATGTGCATGTACTTCATGCCAGCCCCTGAACTGTTAGGTTTAAAATGGTTACTTCTGTTATATGCATCTCACCTCAATATTTTAATAAGAAAAAAAGACATAAATATATAATTCTCAAAATGAAGACACAAAATGTCCTTTAAACCTATGAGAACGTTCAACTTCACTCATAAGAGAAATACAAAATAAAATTATGCCAATATACAATTTCCCACCCATTGATTAGACTGGCAAAGTTCAAATGCTTAATAATACAGTATGTTTGGGAAGGCTGTGAGAAAATAGGCACTTTCCTACATTCTTAGAAAGACAAAACCCATGTAAAAGTACATGGCTATACCTGTGGCAGAAAGACACTAAAGTAGCACCCACTTCCTGGTGTTCGTGGCTTTTTATAATTCCCTCCCTCTGAACGTGTGCAGGACCTACGAGCTGCTTCTAACCAACATGTCACTCCTGTGACTGTGTTACATTATGAAATACTCCATTTGGAGACTGCTAGCTCTAGACTTTCCACGCTGGCTTCATAAAGTGGACATTTGTGAAAAATCCACAATATACGGAACTATGAGGCCTCTAGGAGAGGAAGCAAGTCTTTAGCCCAGTCAACGAGAAGCCAGGACCTACAACCACAATGGAATGAATTCTGCCGCCGTGTGTGAGCTTGGAAGTAGACATTTCCACAGACAAGCCTCTAGATGGAAACGCAGCCCAGCAGACAACTTCACCGCAGCCATGTAAGACCTTAGACAGAGAACTCAGTCAGGCCTTGCCCAGACTTTGACCCTCAGAAACTAAAATAATAAATGTGTGTTAGTGTTAAGACTGTAGTAACCTCTTACACAGCCGTGGATAACTAACACATGAATCAAGCTACACACCTTTACCTTTCAGATGCAGCAATCTCACACCTAAGAACTTACACTGAAGACAACCTCCAGCAATGCAAAAACACATATACATAGGTTGTTAATTGTAACATTATTTATAATTGCAAGATACTGCCAACTACTTAAATAACCAAATATGACAGTGGTGGAAGTACTTTAAAGCTGTTTTAAAAAAATGACTGAGGAACTGAGGAAGATCTCCATGAACTGATGATATGTAGCTATTTCTAGGATACAGCATTAAGTGGAAAAAAAAAAGCAAAGTATAAAATAAAATGTATACTATGCTACATTTTGTGTATGGAAAGGGGTGCTTAAACATATCTTACTACTTTTATAAAAAACGAGAAGGATAAGCAAGAAATCCATGATACTGACAGAGGGTGTGAGACTGGGTGTACCGGGTGAAATGAAGCATAGGAAAAGACTAGAGGAGAAAATACATTTTTCTGAGTATCTCTTTTTTCTAAGTTTATCTAGTTGATAGTCCACAAATTAAAAAATGAAATAAATCAACAAGAATGAGGTAGGGGATGAGGATGCACAACCTTAGAACTGAAAGTAAACAGAAACAAATCAACTAAATGTACCGAATTTCAAATAAAAAAAAAGAAAAACATAACCACACTTTGAAGATGAGGGGGCTGAAGGGAAGCTAATATAAATAGTGAATTATATTTTTATTAGTACTGTTGGTTTAGAAAAAAAATGGCTAGCAAATCCTGAACTCCTTTTTGGTAGTTAGTGTTTTTCAAAAATGTACGGAGGTAGCCATTCTGAAATGTTTGTATTACAGGACAGAGTAAAATGTACTGATGTTGTCAGAAGTCAGAGTCCTCACTAGGGAAAAAAACAGAGACTAGGAGAAGCCAAGAAGTAACCCAAAGGGGCTGGACTGGAATTGGAGGTATTGCTACAACTGCATGATTTAAAACTGTGTGTGTGTGTGTTCTGTCCACTGAAAGACTCAGAAGCAATGACACCTTATTAACAATAAACATGCCAAGTGCCAGATCCTGGTTTCTATAGACCATTCCACATTAAAAGGAACCAGGTCCTTAAAAAAAAGTACCCAATTCCATGACTGAACTAGAGACGACACAAGATGGGACTGAAATATCTTACTGTGCCAGAAAGTAAGAAAGCATTAAAAAAAAAAAGAAAGAAAGAAAAGAAAAAAGAAAGAAGAAAAAGAAAGGAAGAGAAGAAGCAAGAAAATAAAAAAGAAAGATCAGGGCATGCCAAGCCCAAAGGACATAGCAGCCAACTGAAGGGACTCCTCCTGGCCAAATCTGAGGCAATTTGAAATTTAAAAACCAAAGCAATAGATTGTAACCATCTAATATAACTGAATAAAATAAGAACCATGAATCCTTCCTGATAAGAGTTAAGATACATATAGTAGAATGCTGACTGATAATTGTAGTGTCATCAGTGTTAGAAATATAATTAAGTGTTAGATAAGTGTTAGAAAGTCACCATTCCACAACCATCATAGCACAGGTTAGTTCATGAAAGAATCATCATCGGATGACAATTCTAAGGGGAAGAAAGTTTGAGAAGTAACAGGATACTGACTGCACTGACTCAAAGTGTTTCCTCAGATACTGCTTGTAAGTTGCAAGAGGAAAAACAGTAACTAAACGGTGGTAAAACCAAGTAACATCTTGATTGGGTGATCATCATTAAATCATCAATGATAAGCTGATAAACACTGTATGTCTCTGAATGTGGAATCCTGAAAAGAATACAACATTAAGTATGTATTATTTTGAAAAAGGACATATACTCTAGATGTAATCATGAAGAAACATCAGTCAATGTCAAACTGAGGCATAGTCTTCAAAAAATGACAATGTCATAAAGTCAAAAATAAAAAGGGGTGGTGGTGGTGAGCCAAGGAACTGTTCCAGAGTAAAGACCAAGACATTAGGTAAGAAGGCAGGCAGTGACATTGAAGCAAGATGCTCTCTATGCTACTGCTGGTTCTGAAGTTGGGGGAAGGGGCCCTAGTTAAGGGAATATAGGAATGCAACTCCAGAAGCTGGGAAAAGCAAGAAAAAATATTCTAACCCAGGGTTTCTAAAAGGAGCTCAGCTCCTTTAATACTTTGATTTTGGTCCAGGAAAACTCACTTCAGACTTCTGATCTCTAGAACTCTAAGAGAATAAAATATGTTATTTTAAACCCCAAACAATAACAAAGAAAAAAACTAAGACATTACAATCAAATGTAGTACAATATTCCAGATTAGGTTCTAGACTGGATAGAAAAATAAGTGTTAACAGAGGACATTATCAGGATAACTTATGAAACTTGAATATAGACTTGAATATAGACTTGAATATGGATTAGAAAATAGTATTCAAGGTTAAATTTCTTTTACCGTGGTAAATCCACTGTGTTTATGTAAGAGAACAAATACCTCTGTTCTTAAAAACATATACATAAACTTGGGGAAGGTAGGAAGGAGGGAAGTAGAAAAAAGAAATAATAAAGCAAATGTGAAAGGTTAAGAATTGATGAATTTAGATAAAGAGTGTATGGGAGCGCTCTGTACAATTCCTCTATCTTATTTGTAATTTTAAAATTACTTCAAAATAAAAAAAATTTTTTTTTAAAGAAAGAAGACACACACACGTACTGAAATTTGTAGAAGGATATAGCAAACCTAAAGAGGTCAATCACTGAGGAGGGGAAGAAGATGAGGAAAAGGAACCTGTCTCCAAAGACATTTAAATGACAGACTGAACTCCATCCAGCGGTTCCCCATAAACACAGTGTCTAAGCCGGGGGTTCCTAACCAGATACCCATGAATCCCAAGGGGTATGGAAAGAATTCACTAGATCTATGAAGGGGATAGGAAAAAAACTACATTTTAGTTTCATTAACCTTTACCTGATATTTCTCCCCCCCCATTATAAATGCAAGCAACAAAGAGTACCTGTGACTTTATCAACAACAGAAATCACATACGTTTCCACTTCATATTAGTTAGTAAAATCCTCAAAATAACCTATGTACTATTCAGTATTTTAAAATACAGTTAACATCTGCTGCTAGATTTTAATGAGATGATTTTTTTTAAAAAGCAGGTTATATCACAAATCAGCTTTTTAGGTTTTTGATAACTGTATTTCAAAATAACTGGCTTCTGGATAATCCTATGTATTTTATCTTATACATTTATAATTTTTAAATGGCTTTTTCTTTTAGATTTTATTATTTTTAGAGAGGGGGAAGGGAGAGAGGGAGAGAAACATCAATGTGTGGTTGGTTGCCTCTCATGTGCCCCCCCCCCCCCAACTGGAGACCTGGCCTGCAACCCAGGCATGTGCCCTGACTGGGGATCAAACCAGCCATCCTTTGGTTCACAGGCCAGCACTCAATCCATTGACCCACACCAGTCAGGGCTATATTTTAATCCTCATCTGAGGACATGCTTATCCATTTTAGAGAAAGGAGAAGGTGGGGGAACATGGATGTGAGAGAGCAACACAGATCCGCTGTCTCTCACACACTCCCCAACCAGGGACCTAACATACAACCCTGGTGTGGGCCCTGACCTGAATCAAACCAGTGACCTCCAACCAAGTGAGCCACACAGGCCAGGACCATCTTAAACATTTACAAATGTTACTCTTATGGGCTTCAGGCTGTTAAAGGTTGTTGTGATGAAAAAAGTGAAGAAACTCTGCCCTAAGCTACTGATTCCTCATTTGCTTACAAGTATGTCATAATGAGGAAAATTAAAACAGTTTACAGCTTTTTTGTTCTGTCACAAAGCAAATTATAAAGACATCATTGATAATGAACATTTGATCTAACTCTCCCATTATTTAATTCCTCATTTCCCATATGTGCTAGACCAGTAACTATTCACATTAACTACAACCTCACACAAAGCATCCAAGAACAAGTATACCATCATATACCCACACATGAAAAAAAATACGGGCACACAGTTAACTATAAAAATTAATCAAGACTGAAATGCCTCATAGAGAAACTCAGTGCTTACATATCTTAAAGAAATTGGTTAAAAATAAGATACTATTTACCATCTCTCTTTTGGAAAATTTTTTAAAATTTCTTTAATGATTGGCTGGTAACAGGCATCCCTTTCTGCTTTCCCAGTTTCACACCAGTCTCGTACAAACTGTTTCAATGTGGATTTTAATTTATCCATGTCAAATGTAGATGCTGGCATAATCTTTCCATTCCCCTGTTTAAAAACAAGAAATCAATTAGTTTCTGAGAAAAGTAATCAATCCTGAATATGGCTACACAGACATGCTACAAAGGGACTATATAATAGAGGGATTAGTGGATAAGTCACTGGCCTCTCACCTCAACAGGTTTCAAGTGCAGCTTCAGATCCTAAATGAAAAGTTTGGTGGTCTCACTTTTACCCTCAATAGATTATGGTCCATTAATCATGAAACCACCATATAATTAAGCAGTCTTTACTCAGGAGAGGACCAGCACTGAGCTGCTATGGAAACCGAACATTCTCCAAGAAAGAGAGAAGAAAAGTCCCTCCAGGTCATTGATGGGGCAGCATGGAGAGGCTTACAGTGGAGTGGTCCAAATGTACCTATCCTATGGATACAAAAGGAGGACTTGAGTTTCTATTACTGCCAGTCCCTTGAGATTTGTAAGTGAAAATAATTTCTTCAAAGATGACTATCAACAGATACGACATACTGGAAACAATGAGTTTAGCAAGGGACATTTATAAAAATTGATGTCTCTAACTCTATATGCCAGAACACTACATGAAAGTGTATCAAAATGCCAACAATTAACTTAGTATTTAAAGAAAAAAATCAATGAACAAATCCAGTTTCCGTCATAATCAAATGACTGAATATAGAAGCAAGAACATTCTGAGGTCAAATGCAAAGTTGTAAAAATGAAATCCAGAAAGGTAAGACCACAATATATGGACAGTAAACTTGATAACAAATGGAACAAATTTCACATACATTTTCTCCATATTCTTTATTTTCAAACATATGTATGCAATCATTCACAATGGTCAGTAGTATTTCTTGATTATGATCAATGCATTTCCGGATCTTGTCCAAGTGAAGAAGAAACTGAGGAAGTAGTTTCTGTTGATTAGCTGGAAGTGATCGAAATTGTCTTTCTGTTCGGTTCACTCGCTCATGCATACTGGTGCTAAAACATAAAAGGTGTTTTTTAAAATGGCAAAAGAATTCTCTACAGAGACCAATCTTATTTTAAGATTGTCTTTTTGTACAATTATTCCCTTTTATAATGATGGATGCTGTCCTGTCACTTACAATGTTTTGCTTTCTTAAAGAATATCCACTTAGAAAGTTTTATGTTTCCACCTTAGCAGAAATTCTCTAAGCAGCCAAACAAAAGACAAATTGTTTGTAACTAGTAAAAGCAAACATCTGCACCAACTAGAAGAGAGGGGAAAAATTAAAGAGGATTAGTGTACAATAAGTTTATTTTCATGACTTCAATTTCCAAACTTAAAATTTTCAGCAAAACTAGCTGAATGCTTTAGATTTCTTCATCAAGTAACAGAATGCTGCTAGGAAATTACCTTAAGAAATGATACAAAATGTGTTTTGAAATTAAGAGCCAACCAAGTTGAATTTTTCAAAATATCATAAAAGATTTTATATACTATAAAAGCAGTAAATGAATTAAAAATCGAAATTCTATATCCTTTTACATGACAATATTCACACTTGGCACTCTAAAAGTTACCAAGTAACTCTAAAGGTCACTTTGGGGATTACCTATTTACAAAATCTGGAAAGAACGTATTTTCAAAAGTTAAATATTACTTTCACAATGAAATGCCATTTTATTTGACCCATATGGGCAAAATTTAAAAGCCTGTTTATCTGAAATGTTGTAAAAAAAAGTGGAATAAGTAGAATATATTATATTGATTGGTGGTGGGTGCATAAATCAGTACAATTACTTTGGGAAATAAGTTAGCATTGTCTAGTAAAGCTTCACGTACATATTCCCCAGGACCTAGCAATTACAACACCTAGACATATATGAAACTCCTGCAAATGGTCACCATGAAACATGACCAATTGTCATCACAGCGCTGTTAGAAATAACAAGCAAAAAGTCTGGAAGCAACCCAAAGGTCTATCACTAGTAGAATGAACAAAGAAAGTACAGTACAGTTACACGACAAAATGCAGTTGAATTAATAAATTATAGCTACACACAATACTATGAGTAAAACTTAGGAACATAAATACTGGCTGAAATATCAATTGTAGAAAAATAGGGTAGGGGGAAAAGGCAGAAAACTGTACTTGAACAACAACACAAGAGTTAAAAAATAAAAATATATAATGTATAATTCTATTTTATGTAAAAATAAACAATATATTATAGGAACAGAACATATGTAGAAAAACTACAAAGAAAGGAAGGAAACAAAAATTCAGGAAAGTGATGTTTTTTGAGGGGAAAGGGATAAGATAATGTTCCTTTAAAAAAATGATGTGGTAGGTTCAAGGGTGTTCCCTGCACCATTCTTTACATTTTACATGTACAAACAAATGTATGTTTCTTTTAAAAGTTTTTTGAAATTTATTCAGTGTTAAATGAAAATAAAAATTTTCTTTTTTCATTTGGTTGTCTCAATCTCTCCATTCATCTAAATAACTCTCTCATTTGTACCTTTTGCCAAATAACTAACTTCTGAACAGCAATATTTAAAGAAGTTCTGATATGAGCTCTGGACAAAACTTAAGCAAAAACCCAGACATGTTTTTAGAAGCCTGGGTGTGGCAGAATTTGGTGGATAGAGGGCTCAGAGGCAATGTAAAACAAGTTGGCACTGACTAGCTACACTGATGTTTGCTCTTTTGCCCCCCACCCGAAACCCCTTGAGACAGTGCAACGGTGGGTTCTGGAATCAAACAGATCTGTGCTGAAATCCAGGTTATGTCACCTATTTGCTAAGTGACCCTTGGCAAGTTACTTCTATAATCTGTGCCTCAACTGTCCATATACAAAAACATAAAACAACAATGATGGTGATTAAAGAAGCTATCATGTATTGAGACATGAAATCCCATTTGGCACCTTTCTAGTAAAAATCTGGTAAAGCCCTGACCAGTGTGGCTCAGTTGTTTGGGCATTGTCCTGCAAAGGTTGCTGGAAGGTGGTTGGTTGGATTCCCAGTCAGGGCACATGCCTAGGTTGTGGGGTGGTCCCTGGTCAGGGCATGTGGGAGGAACGACCAATTTGTTTCTCTCACACATCAATGTTTCTCTCCTTCTCCCCCACCCCGTCCCTCCTTCTCTCTCTAACATTAAATAAATAAAACCTTTTTAAAAATAATTTATTATTATTATTCTATTACAGTTGTTTCTATTTTTCCCTTGCCCTCCTTGGTGTTCTTAAGAATGTGGTAGTACTAAGAACAGCAGACACTCAGAAGTGGTTAGCAATAGAGAATCTCAGGTGTAGCCTACCCAAGACCTGAAATGTAATCCACCTTTTAACGAGATCTCCAAATGATCCATATGTACATTAATATTTTAGAAGCATTTGTAATTTTTCATCCTTATTAGAGGAACCTTCCCAGGTCAGAAAAAAGTTCTCAAGTGACTACATGGGAAATGACTACAATGACTTTCCATCAGCTCATCTTAGCTATTTTCCAAACACTGGGCATCTAGATACTTTCACTTGTCTCTATGATGCATTTTTTGTGTCCATATGTGCCTATATTTTGGGAGGAAAAATAACACAAACTCCCCAAAGAATTACCATGTCAGAAAGGACAGTATTTTTAAGTCTCTTGATACAAACTGATTTTCAGAAAGATTGAAGCAACTTACATTCCTGGCAATAGAGTATGACACTAAAGGAACTATTTCAAGTGGCCACAATATGTTTGTTAGGTGAACAGCAGAGATGCAGCATTTACAATTTACTGTCAACAGGTTAAATAGTCTTTTAATAGTTCATTCCTAGTATTTCTGGGCACTGGATGCCTCAGAACTCAACACATCCAAACTAAATTTAGCACATGATGTCCCCCCCAAAACCTTGCACTTCTTTCTACATGGCTGGTATTGATAAATGGTACACCATACATTCACTCTAGTCAGAAATTAACAAGTTTCATGGCTCACATGATCAGTAAGCCTGAGCGAGGTCCTTTGATTCTACCTCATGTCTCCCAGAGATTACTGAAGACCTCTGCTACCTAGGAATGCTGTCCCCAACCTAACATCTTCATCAGATGAATTCTTCTAAAATACAAGTCTCATTTTTGTCACCATTTAACTTCCATATTCCAGCACATGTAAAAAGCAATCAATCAATGTTCTCCATGAAGATTACTTATTTCCATGATAGCAGGGGAGTTAAGTTCTAGACTTCTAGAGTTAAGTTCAATTACTACTATGGAAGTAACACAACTACACAGAGCAACATGAAATGTAGCATATCCCTTAGCCCTTGGTTACTTAATGGTATGCCAAGCTACCCATAACATAAACAGTGACTGTCTTGAAGTAAGTGAGACCTTACCAAAGTTGAGAAAAGAGTTTCATCCTTATTCACAATTGTAATTGGCGATGCCTTCGCTATTCTGGAAATGCTTACATTATGAGGAACAGAGTGAAGAAACAAAATGAAGTCACTAGAGTCAAGCTGTTAAATTACTAAAATAAATTAGGCCAAAGTATGAGGAAATGACGTTATTCTTGTTTTAACTAGCCTGGGAACTTAAATTTTTGAACTTCCCAGTTGTGTGGTAATGTCTGGATATACATGAGACCTCCAAATAACCCTCTAGTGCCCCTAAAGGACTTGCATATCCAGACTACCTAGCATCCATCATCCAAACAGCCTAACATCTGACTGATAACCATCCTGGACCAATCCTAGTGCTAAGAATACAGGACTGATTATTCTCAAGAATGCACATTTTACTATTAGAACTCCTAACTTTTTCCTTCTTCAAAACACACTGAAGTTTTTTTGCCTAGTTATTTTTCTAGTTTGCAAACCCTAACACCCTTGAATTAGTATCATTTATTTCTAGCCAAAGCTTCTAAGCTCTTTCTGACTGTTTGGCAACTATGTGCTTTAAGACAGGGATGGCAAATTTTGACCCCCTGTCCCCATGCCTGGCTACTTGGTCTGTTTCTGTAAAAAGAGTTTTACTGGAACATAGCCATGCCCACTTGTTCACATACTGCCCATGGCTATTACCTCCATAATAAGGGCAGAGACCACCTAGCCCTCAGTTTAAAGTATTCACTGCCTGGCTCTTAAAAAAAAAAAAAAGTTTGCCTATCCAGCTTTAAAGGAATGTTTTACAACCTTCAAAATCTCCTTGGTTCTGAACTCAGTGGTTCAAACTATCTTGGTTTTGATAATGAGACCACATCTTCTGGAAGCTAAGGAGAGAAAGTAGTCAGGCAGCTATCTTTCCTTAAGGGTATATCTCTACCTCCAGCTCTCTCTCTAGAAGGCTGGTCTGGACAGTGACTAAGTCGCCTTTCTTCAGGGTGGTTCCAGTGCTGGATCTGAGCCTAGGGCCAAGGTCACTGACCCATCCCTCTGCACCTGTTAAACTGCTCTAGAATTCCAAACAGGAAAGCATACTTTTTCAGAAGGCAAATCTGCCTTAGTCCATTAGAAATAGTCATTAAATACCCAAGGTTAAAACTGTCATACCAGTATTACTGCTTACTAATGCAAAATGCAATTTTAATAAATGATTTTGGATTTCAGGCCAGACACTAGCACAATGTGGTTGTGTAGGCCTGGGCAAGTCACTCAGTTCTTTATATACTTACACCCACACCAGTAAAAATGAGTTCTATGTCTCAATTTTTTAAATCTCACCTAACAGCTATTTTTAAAAGTAAAACAATTCTGACAAGATCTTTGATTTTTCAACTGTAGTATTTTCTACGTGAATAGGTATATTCATTCATAACAAGAGTAGTATTTTAAGGCTAATGACATGTTTTGCTATTCATTACAATGCTGTCATGATTTTTACCTTAGAATATGTCATCTAAGCCAAATTTGTAGAAAGCACAAAATTGGAAGCACTGGAAAGAAAATACATTAATCAAAAGGCTAAATCTCCTATATACTGACTATGAAACATTTAGCAATAAACCCAAATTCTGTGGCTACTGAGACTGAGAAAATGAGTTTTTAATATTGTTAAGTTTTAATTTAGCCAGATGTGATTAGTGGCCAAAGTATTGGCCAGTGCAGGTCTAGAAGATCATAAAATGTTGCAATGTAACAATCCAGTGTTTTCTGCTACATAATGCTTTCTGTAACCCTAATCCTTTAAGTGATATTTTTAAAAGTGTATTTTTAATCATACACTATTTTCAGTCTAGAGATTTAAAATGCTTCATCACAGAGTACATTCAAATAGAAATAACTGTTTTTTAAACAATTTTCCTCACTGCCACGTTAAACTGGTAAAGGAATGCGAGTAGAAAACTGTACTGGAACCACTAGAACATGCACACAATCGCCCTTTTTTACACGCCACAGTTGGGTCCTTGATCGAGGTCCAAATCCCTCTGTCTCACACCAAAGAGGTTCATCTGATACCTAATCATAAATATCAATTCTAAATTAGTCCTAATATTTTACAACTGGGTCTGCACACATTTTAATTAATTATCTCAATGATATTCCCAAGGCATTTCCCAATTATTTTCTAGATTTTTCAATAGTAAAATTCACTAGACTTTTCTGCATCTACCACTCTTCCCTACCTAATAATGTCAGTTTCTTCCCCTGCCTGTATGGTTCTTTCAGGTACAATACTCAGATTAAATTCAATTCTCTGGTTGTCTGCCTTCCTTTCTCTGTTGATACTAAATAAAGTCCCCATGCTATTAATTTTCTTTTGGGCTCCATAATTAATGCAGTCCATGGTTCCTATCCCCGTGTTTAATTAGTAAATTATTTTATCAAGGTCTCTGAACTTCAAAAATTCATGTCAGAAATGTAATCAGATTCTAAACAACTTTAAACTTTTATTAAGCAGGTTTCTAAATTCGGAATAGTAACAAACTAGCTTACTAACTGGTCACAAATTGACAGATTATTCGGGAATGACAAATGTATTTCTTTGCTACTACCTGTTTTATTTGTTAAAAATAGAGCTTCAATAACTTAGGGCAAATACTGGTGACATAAAAATAAATGAGGCTCAGTCCCTGCCCTTGAAAAGGTCACAGTCAAGCAATATAAAAAAAAAAAAAAGTCTGCACAAAGCACAGCAGAAACCCATCTAGGGGAACAATTTTTCTTGCGTGGAATGTCACATCTGATTACAAATGCAGACTCAGAACATGTCCCTCGGTGGACTCATCTCTTAACAAGAATAAAATACTACCTTTACCTGAAAACCTAGTTGATTTACGTCCCTTTCAGACCTTGGAATTAAAATTTTGTGGCTAACCTATTTTAGCATCTATCTAGAAGTAGAATTTAGAAAGTTTAAAAGTCCTACCACTGTGTCTGGCTCACCGTGAGAATCCGGATTCACATTTGCAAAATAAAAGATCACAAAGGTGGCTCATTACACCAACGCTCAGGTCCTTCCTTAATTAGCGAATGTTAAAACATCCGGACCATCTCCTACCTCAATTTCACCCACTAGATAAAGACAATGAGCAGCAGCGCTTACTGGCTCACCACCAGCGTGCCTGTACTCTCTTACAGTACCATTGGGGGTGGGTTGGAAATCTTGGGCTATGCTCACGGGGACTGGCACCAGTTTGGGAAAATACGTCCCGCCGCGTCCCACGTGGAGGTGAACTTGGGCTCTCCGTGCGTTCAGTTTGGAGACCATCAACAACACAAACGAATCAAGCTCAAGACTGAACAATTCACCACCATCACCTTCTATCTGAAAAACTGTCACAGCATTTTTCCGGTCACCCCCCCCCCCCCACACACACACACCGACCTCAGAGCCAAACCTTTAACAAATGCAAAGCTAGAGACCTAATCTGAATAGTGAGGTCAGAAGACAAGGGGTGAGCGGCAGACAGCGAAGCAGACACGCGGATGTGCAGGGCTGTAGCGGTGCGAGGTGACTCGGGGATCCGGAGGTCAGCTCAGGCGGCCCGGTCCGGGAGTCCCGGAGGCGTGGCGGCCAGGGAGCGCCCCTGTTCCGCCGCCGCAAGCCACAAGCCCCAGACGCCCTGACGGGCTGAGCTGGGGTCTGCCACGGGCTCCTTACCCGTAGTAGCGGAAGGCATTAATGATCTTCCAGAAGTGCTCGCGCTCCAGCCTCTCCTCCTCCTCCTCCGTGCTGCGCGAGGCTACCACTACCGCCGCAGCCGCCGAATCCACAGCGACCGAGCCCAAACGCCCGGCGGAGAACTGCACTTCCACCTCCTCGCTCCCGCCGCGGCCGCCGCGGCCCCTGCGGCCCCCGCGGCCGCCACCACCTCCCCCGCAGTCCTCTGGCAGCTGAGAAGCAGGCGGCGAAGGACGCCGCCGTCGCTGCATAGCTGCCACGGCCCTCAGCCTGGCTCGCTTGCGTCTCGCCGCGAATGAAAGCGTGGTGGCGGCTGTTCGGCCTTCCTCTAGACACGCCCCCAGCTCGCGGCGCGCTCCGCCTCCGCCGCCCTCAGGCCACCATCCGCGCGGGGCTCCACAGAGTCTTCTCAGCACCCAGCCCTAGCGCGCATGTCCAAGCCGGGGTGCAAGGAGCCGCGGCCTCCAGAGCTCATTTGCTGCTGACTGTCAGCGACGGCGCGCTGACATCACGACGACACGTACCGTGGGCGGGGAAAAGGGCCAAGTGGGAGGAGCGATGGAGGAATGCTTTGGGTGTTGTCCCAACACCTGCTTAAGGCCTCGTGGGTGGGGTTCGAGGTCTTGCAAGTGCTGGGTTGTGGAAGAGGCAAGTAAAGCACTAGTAGAGGGAAAAGGCAGAAAAAAAAAGTTAAGCTTTGGTTAACTTATTTGGAGTTTTTATTTCACAAAGTCTAGAAGAAAGGTCTTTCATGCATCCTCATAAGTTTTGATTCATTTCCTAAGATTAAATTAAATGGAGTACGTTATTTCCTAAGAATAGCATTAAATGCAGGTAGGGCAGCTCTTTTAGCGATCAGCCCAGAGAAAAATAGGGCGGGGCGCAAGTACTGGATAGTTAGGTTCCTGCACTTTCCTTCTCTGCCGCTATCACCAGTCAGGGCCTGATTAGGATTTTCACAGGCACCTACACTTGCGGGTACTTGCCTTTGGAAGATCACCGAAGTGCGGAGGAGCCCTAATGCCTCACCATTGGCGCAGCACTAGCATCTAATGGTGGCCCTTAACAATGCCAGACCTCTCTTTACCTGCGTTCACTCTCCCGCCCTACCTGCATTTAATGTTATTCTTAGGAAATAAATTACTCCATTTAATGTAATCTACCACCCAGCAAATCAGTCTTTCAAAATAATTGTGGAAGGAAATAATTGTTTTATGCAGAAGAGTGCCCCAGGACCACACATTTTGTTTAAAAGGTGTAATTATATTGAAAATGAAGTGAATTCTTATTTTCATTATTTAAATTAATAATTGAAATAACAGGCAATGTTAAAACAAATACTGTGGTTTTCTTTGTTAAAACTACACTTAATTTTTATAGTATCGAGGTGGGAAAAGTAGGTTTATATTTGTTCATATGGAAAAGACATGCAGGTTATGATTATTACAATCGCCTTATTAACTGAAAAGAATGTCAGAGTGGCACTACGCAGTTAAGTACAATCTCATAAGCGTTCAAATTGCTGGCCTTCATTCTTTACACATTCTGGGAGTCTACTTGCTATATTGAGACACATTTTGGCACAGAGTTCTTACCTACTTTCCCACCCCTGTATTTTAAAGTCTAATTGTTGATATATTTTTAATACTAATACAGTAATGCATAGTTCAAAATTCAAAAAGAGGGTGAAACAAGTTACAAATGTGAAGTTTCTTTACTCCTGTCTCTAACCATCTATGTCCTTCTCCAGACACAGATATCAATTCCTTGCTTACTTGTACAGATTTTTTATCCAGGACCCATTTTTCTTTGAGACTGGTGTTTGAAAGTTATGTGAAATTCTCATAATATTAACTGTTAGCAACATTGTTTTTGTATACAGCGGAAGGAGAGAGGTTTGGAACAGAGAGAACTCACCACTGGAATCCCAAAACCATCAGTCAGAGAGATTCCACAGCACAAAGGAGTTTTTCAAAAAATGCTTCCCCCTCTTCAACCTTTATGTTATGATTAAGTGTTTAATATCCTATTCTGAAACAAAGTTGCAATTTCCTGCTTCTGTCTGTTTATCTTATTCAAAGTTTTGTATACTTTTATCTTTTTGTTCCATGTAGAAGAACTCCTTTCATTTCTTGTAATGGAGGTCTTGTGGTGATAAATTCCCTTAGCTTTTGTTTGTCTGGGAAAGTTTTTATTTCTCCTTTGTATCTAAAGGATAATGAAAACAGGGAACACCTTGCTAATCCTCTCTGTATTGTTCCAATTTTAGTAAACAGGGTGGGGCAAAAGTAGGTTTACAGTTGTGAGTACATGATACACAGAGTTTATCACAGAGTTTGTGTTATTATTTATTAATTATTGTATTATTCCCCATACTAACAACTGTAAAGCTACTTTGGTGCCCCACCCTGTGTGTGCTGCCAAAGGAGGTACTCCATTTTATTTCTTCATACTATTCCACAAATCAACTGATTTGTGGGTATCAGTTCACTGAAAATCTAGATTTAAAATGTAAAACTTGAAGATGTAATCATGTCTAAGGAAGTGCCAGAGTTTCACTATCATTCTAACATCTCTAGACAAATACGTTTTTTTGGGGGGGGTTGGCAGTTGGTAATGTTTGCATCCATGAAAAGGGAGTTCAGTCAAACAACACCCCTTGACTTTCTCTACTCATTCTGCCTGGAGAAGGTGGGGTGTCTCATTTGATTGGTAAGAACAAACTACAGGTGCTTGACTATACTCTGGACCTTTCTTTTTTCCTCTTGGGAGTAAACTTCTTGCAGTAAGCACAATTTCTTCTCTGTTTATTATGCCATAAAATCCTTCCCAGGTGGAAAAGTTGTCCTGGTCCATGGTGCCTGTGACTATGTGATTAAGTCTGACTATTTCCAGATGAAGTTAGGAGGCCCATTTGACTCTTACCTTAGGATTTACTCTTTAAGGTAGGTTTTACCAGTAAAAAGGAATATTTTGGCCACTGTCTGTCTCTTCTTTGTCTAATCGCTCAATGTGTTCTGAATCTTGTTTGGAAGTAAAGAAGTGTATTAACTATATTTTCTTATTTTCTATATTCTTGATGCTCTACCACCTGGGACTTCTCTGTCTAGGGAGAGACTAACCCTTCCAGGGCTAGCTAATTGCTAGAGACAGCACCCAAGTCCCCCGAACCTTTCATATGCAAACAGGCCAATCCACAACCCACAACCCACAACCACTTCTTTTTAATTTATTTTTTAATATATTTTATTGATTATGCCATTACAGTTGTTCCATTTCCCCCTCTTCATTCCCCTCCACCCTGCACACCCCCTCCCACTCACCTTCCCCCCCTTTAGTTCGTGTCCATGTGTCATAAGTTCTTTAGCTTCTACATATCCCACACTATTCTTGCCCTCACCCCTATTTTCTCCTCACCATCTATGCTACTTATTCTCTATACCTTCTCCCCCCTTCTCCTCGTCTGATTCCCCTGTTGCTAACCTTCCTTGTGATCTCCATTTCTGTGGCTCCGCTCCTGTTTTAGGTGTGGTTATTAATAACTGTGAGTTTGCTGTCTTTTGACTGTTCATATTTTTTATCTTCTATTTCTTAGATAAATCTCTTTTATATCTCATATAGTAAGGGCTTGGTGATGATGAACTCATTGAACTTGACCTTATCTAAAAATCGCTTTATCTGCCCTTCTATTCTAAACAAAAGCTTTGCTGGATAGAGGAATCTTGGATGTAGGTCCTTGCCTTTCATGGCTTGGAACATTTCTTTACAGCCCCTTCTTGCCTGTGAGATCTCTTTTGAGAAATCAGCTGACAGTCTGATGGGAACTCTTTTGTAAGTGACTGTCCCCTTATCTCTTGCTGCTTCTAGAATTCTCTCCTTCATTTTAATCTTGGCTAATGTAATGGTGATGTGCCTTGGTGTGTTCCTCCTTGGGTCCAACTTCTCTGGGACTCTCTGAGCTTCCTGGACTTCCTGGATGTCTATTTCCTTTGCCAGATTGGGGAAGTTCTCCTTTATTATTTATTCAGCTAAGTTTTCCACTTGTTGCTCTTTCTCTTATCCTTCTGGTACCCCTATAATTTGGATGTTGGAACTTTTAAAGATGTCCTGGAGGTTCGTAAGCCTCTCCTCATTTTTTTGAATTTTTGTTTCTTCCTTCTTTTCTGTTTGGTTGTTTCTTTCTTCCTTCTGGTCCACTCCATTGATTTGAGCCCCAGTTTTCTTTCCATCACTGTTGGATCCCTGTGCATTTTCCTTCATTTCATTTAGTGTCACCTTCATTTTTTCATCTAATTTGTGACTAAAATCAGTGAGTTCTGTGAGCATCCTGATCATTAGTGTTTTGAACTGTGCATCTGATATGTTGGCTATCTCTTCCACAACTGCCTCTTTAATCAGAATTTCATACACCAAACCAATATACCCCTACCCTAATCAAGGCAGGGCAAGGCACTGGTTTGGTACAGCCTCTGTACTCCAGAGCCTGCTGAAATTCTTCCAACTAGCCAATCCTAAGCCTGCTAATTCTTCTTTGTCTTTCCTTTCTTGGGAAACCACTATAAAAGCTTGTAGCAGTGCTTTGCCATCACTCTTCCAGCCTCCTGGTGCTTCCTGCGTGGCCCTGCATCTTATGGCCCTGTCCTCTTGGGGACAGTAAATAACTATCTTGTCAATAGCAGCTGTCTCCTGATCTCTTGGTTTCACCATGCCTGAATAATAATAAAATCTATATTTTAAAACTGTGAGTTATTATCAGGCCCCTCCAAATGCCCTAACATATCTTCAGGAGATGATTCAAAGTGTGACTCTATAACAGTCAATGACAGCATTTCCCCTTCTTTCCAGATATTTTTGTTTTTAAATCAGTAAGATGGGAGCAGAACTATTGAAAGAGCTGAGCACTTGTCAGCAACAATTTGCTAGGTCTTCATTTATTCTTAAGATTCTAACTATTGACTTCCTAAAGAAAAGTATCAAAGAATTATCAGTTGATCTGCATCTTAAGTGTGAAAATTTCTTGTGTTCTGAACACAAGAGAAATGAAATTTATGGTCCAAGTTTTCAAGAAGGTTGTGGTACAGTGGGGAAGCAAAACTGGAATACATTAAACAATTGAAGTGATGTAGTGTTTGTGGATTTTATTTTAGATTTTATTTATTTATCTTTAGACAGAGGGGAAGAGAGGGAAACAGAGAGGGGTAAAGAAACATCAATGTGTGGTTGCCTCTCACATGTCCCCCACCAGGGACCTGGGCATGTGCTCTAGACAGGGAATTGAACAAGCAACCCTCTGATTTTCAGGCTGGCACTCAACCACTGAGCCACACCAGCCAGGGAAAAATGATGTAGTGTTAAAATACTGTGTTAAGTAAGGTGTAATAAGAATTAAGGAAAGGGAGAACAGTTTGAAACTAGCATAGAGCTAAATCTCAAAGGATGACTGTACCTTGAAGAGCCAAAGATATGGGAGTACTCTTCATAAACCA